TCAAGGCAAGAAGGCAATTGATGTCAAGTGGGTATACAAAGTGAAAACGAATTCGAAAGGTGAAGTAACTCGACACAAAGCAAGACTTGTGGCGAAAGGATTTCTACAGAAAGAAGGAATAGACTTCGATGAAGTTTTTGCACCTGTTGCTAGGATCGGAACAATCAGGTTGGTTGTTGGTCTAGCAGAAATAAACAGTTGGCACATATGTCAGATGGACGTGAAGTGTGCATTCTTAAATGGACCCTTAGATGAAGAAGTCTATGTTAAACAACCAGTTGGGTTTGTGAAACATGGCGAAGAAAGAAAGGTGTACAGGCTACATAAAGCCCTGCATGGATTGAAACAAGCTCCAAGGGCTTGGAATAAGAAAATTGATAGTTTTCTAAGGGAGAAGGAATTTGTGAAGTGCACAACTGAACATGGAGTATATGTAAGAAGAAGCAAGAGTAAATTGCTTATACTATGTCTCTATGTAGATGATTTGTTGATAACATGTAGCTGTAAAAGTGAGATCGAAGACTTCAAAGGTGATCTCAGCAAAGAATTTGAAATGTCTGATTTGGGTGAGATTTCATATTTCCTTGGTATCGAATTCTACAAGAGCAATAGAGGTTTGATGATGCATCAAAGAAGATATACAGGAGAAATTCTCAAGAGGTTTGAGATGGAAGAATGCAACTCAACTTCGACACCTGCAGAACCAAGACTGCAACTGTCGAAAGATGCAGATGAAGATGATGTTGATCCAACCCAATACAGAAGACTTATTGGATCATTGAGATACCTTTGTCATACAAGGCCCGACTTAGCATATAGTGTAGGTATGGTAAGTAGATTCATGCAGAAGCCAAAGGTATCACATCTAGAAGCAGTGAAGAGGATACTAAGGTATCTCAAAGGAACTTTCGATAATGGTATTTTGTTTCCTGCAGTTGATAAAGGAAAAGAATGCAAATTAGTCGGATACACTGATTCGAGTTGGTGTAGTGATGCTGAAGATTGAAAGTCAACAACAGGATATGTGTTTATGCTAGGTGGTGCACCAGTTACTTGGAATTCAAGAAAGGAATCAGTAGTGGCATTATCATCATGCGAAGCAGAATACATAGCTGCTTCTCTTTGTGCATGTCAAGCAACTTGGATGGTGAACTTGGTCGAAGAGATAACAGGGAAAAATCATGGAGCAATTACCATGAAGATAGACAACATGTCAGCTATTAATCTGGCGAAGAACCCAATAGCACATGGTCGAAGTAAGCACATCGAAATGAGGTTCCATTATCTTCGAGAGCAGGTAGCAGATGGGAAGATGAATTTGGAACACTACAGAACTGAGAATCAGATTGCAGTCATCATGACGAAGGGAGTGCAAGTTGAAGTATTCAGAAAGTTAAGAGCCATGATGAACATAGATAGTTTAACACAATGAATTAGGTGGTGTGTTAAATTGTAATCCAATGTGTCGAAACTATGTATCGAAAAGATTTGATTTGTTTTAGATTTAAATAGATTTGATTTAAGTCTAAAATAAATTAGATTTGATTTAGTAACAAAAAGATATTTTGGGCTTTAGGCTTAGGGTGTAAGCTCAGTTATAAATAGAGGGAGTAACCCCTATTTTTGCAAGCAAGTCAAGCAAGTCATTCACAGTATTTTGCAGTTGCAAAGTAAATAAGAAAGTTTTCACAGTTTGTGAGCAGAGAGAAACTCTGCAGAAATTATTTGTCTTGTCTTCTTTTCTTTGTTTATCTCATAATTAAATTGTCATTGTGGTAGAAATTCATCATCGACTTCGGTGGATTTCCAACATATTGCTGGTAGATTGATTCTTGTAAAATTCGTCGTTCAAAGTATTCTCTTATATTATTTGGTGATGTATTTTTTGTTGGAAATCCATCAAATATCTATGATGAATTTTTATCAATCTTGATGAACAAGATTGATATCACCACACAATGAGAATGAATTATGAGAAAAGAAAATAAAAGAAGACAATTATTTTCTGCAGAGTTTCTCTCTGCCCATAAATTATGGAAAACTTTATTAATTACTTGCAACTGCAAATTCTGTGATTACAATGAATTGACTTAATTACAAAATTAGGGGTTACTCCCTCTATTTATATATGTAGGTTAGCTTACTCCTTAAGTCAAAGCCCAAAATACCTATTTTGGTACTAAATCAAATCTATCTATTTTAGATCTAAATCAAATTTATCTAAATCTAAAACCAATCAAATATGTGTGTAGCTTGCTTCGATCCACAAGCTCTTTGATTGGGCAACCTGCCTTCGACACACACTATTTTGACACAATCAAATTACAATTTAACACACCACCTAATTCATTGTGTCTAAACTATCTATATTCATCATGGTTCTTAGTCTTTTGAATACTTAGACCTGCACTCCCTTCATCATGATATTTGTAGTCTGATTCTCAGTTATGCAGTGTTCCAAATTCATCTTCCCTTCTGCTACCTACTCTCGAAGATAGTGGAACCTCATTTCGATGTGCTTGCTTCGACCATGTACTATCGGGTTCTTCGCCAGATTAATAGCTGACATGTTGTCGATCTTTATGGTAATTGCTCCGTGATCTTTCTCTGTTATCTCTTCGACCAAGTTCATCATCCAAGTTGCTTGACAGGCACAAAGAGAAGAAACTATGTATTCTGCTTCGCATGATGATAATGTCACTACTGGTTCTTTTCTTGAACTCCAAGCAACTGGTGCACCACCTAACATAAACACATATCTTGTTGTTGATTTTCGATCTTCAGCATCACTACACCAACTCGAATCAGTGTATTCCACTAACTTGCATTCTTTTTCTTTATCAGCGGCAAGAAATAAAATGCCATAGTCGAGAGTTCCTTTGAGATACCTTAGTATCCTCTTCATCGTTGCTAGATGTGATACCTTTAGCTTCTGCATGAATCTACTTATCATACCTACACTATATGCTAAGTCGGGCCTTGTATGACAAATGTATCTCAATGACCCAATAAGTCTTCTGTATTGGATTGGGTCGACATCATTTTCATCTGTATCTTTTGATAGTTGCAGTCTTGGTTCTGCAGGTGTTGAAGTTGAGTTGCATTCTTCCATCTCAAATCTCTTGAGAATTTCTCGTGCATATTTTCTTTGATGCATCATCAAACCTCTACTTCTCTTGTAGAATTCGATGCCAATGAAATATGAAATCTCATCCAGATCAGACATTTCAAATTCCTTGCTGAGATCACTTTTGAAGTCTTCGATCTCACTTTTACAGCTACATGTTATCAACAAATCATCGACATAGAGACATATTATAAACAATTCACTATTATTTCTTCTTACATATATTCCATGTTCAGCTGTGCACTTCATAAATTCCTTTAAAAAATTAAAAATAATCGCTTTTTATAATTACTTTGTGTGGGAGGGCTCCTGAACCTACGCGGTCAAATTACCTTTAAAATGATCAATTGGTAAGTTAATTTTTTTTTTATGTATGTGCATTAGAAAAATAATTTAAATAAGTTATTATCAATAATTACATATTTTAATAATTATAATTACTATTTCAAACATCATTATAATATATATAAATTTTATAATTTATTTAAAAAGTAAGTTTTTATAGGTTTAAATATAAATTTTAAAATTTAAAAAAAAAACCATAAATAAATAATTATATAAAAAATAAAACCCAATAATAATAATATAACATTTATGACAATAAAATTACATAATACAAAAAACATTAACAACTCACAAGTAGTATTTTCCTTGTTAAAGAAAAGATAAATTTGCAAGTTTGAATATCTGTTCGAACAAATTAAATATTCCAATAATTATTTTCTATTTGAGTTTGTGTTTTGTTTGAAAGTTTACTATTCAAATTTTATTTATATTATTTTAGTTATTTATTCTATACAAAATTATTTAAAAAAAACAAAAAAAATGTATCTAATTTTTTCTTGACTCGTCTCCCTCTAATACTCTTCCGTCCAATCTTATCTTAACAAGCCTTATATGGTTCTACCAGACAAAAATCAAGGTTAACATCAAATACCAAAGGATTAATAATTATTTAACTACAAACTATATTATGAGAAGAAAGAAAATCTAAAAACATGTATAAAGAAAAATATGGCATGAATTGATCTGGAAAAAAACTCCAAAACTCCAATAATTTTGCCGCTTGTTACACGTCCCACCCCTCTGTCACATTCATTTCTCTCCATTCTCAACACGTCTCTTGCATTCCATCCCATCCCATCACTACTAGCACTACCATTTCTTCTTCTTCTTCTCTTTCTCTATCTCTATTCCTCTTCGTTTAAGGTATGTCACTCACTATTTGCTTTTTTTAAATTATTAACACGGTCAGTATCGGTATCATGTTTCTGTGTCAGTATCGGTGTCGTGTTTCCGTGTATAGTTTATAAATACATGTGACTAAAAAAAATTGTTTTGGTAGTAGTTATTTTTTCACGAGCTTATGTACTCTTTTTGGTAGGCTACTTCAAGTAGCTTAGAGCTTATAAGTTTATTATGCTGTTATGTTTTGATTCACAAACAAAGGAGAAAAGAAAATAATTGGAAGTTTATGGGAGATAACTTTATTATTCTGCACTTCTTACTGTTACATCTATGTTTTGAATTTGGCTTCAAGCATGATCTGTCCCTGTGATCATTTTGCCGAGTTTTCTGTTCTTGTGCTTGTTTCTTTTCATATCAAGAATTTTTGGAAGGGGACAATTTATGTACAGCCTTTGTGGCTCGCACACTTGTGTGTAAAGTAGAATATTGATTGAATTTGTTGTGTTGGTTTGTGTCGTGTGATAAGAAATTAAACGAAAGCGTAAACTGAATTTACTGTATTGCTTTATGTAATAAGAAATTATTTGATGATCACAAACGTATTTGTATAATATTTCTTTTTCTGCCAATCACAGAAATAACCATTGTTTCCTAACCAACATTTTGAATGCTCTTCTCGATACAGATGGCAGCATCATTGGCATGCCTTATTGGGAATAGTTTATCTACACACAGTAATAAAGTAAATATTCACAAGGACATAAATGGAAGACATATCTTCTTTTCTTGGGGACATTCATTGTTGAAAAGAGCATCAAAAACTATATTAGTCAAGGGCAAGGCATCTTCGGATCAAAGGGAACATGAAGGGAGAAGAGGATTTCTGAAATTATTGAACCTGACAGTTGGCTTACCCGCATTATTAGGAAGCGCAAAAGCTTACGCTGATGAACAAGGGGTTTCATCCTCCAAAATGTCTTATTCTAGGTTTCTCGAGTATTTGGACAAAGACAGGGTTAAAAAAGTTGATCTGTATGAGAATGGAACTATAGCTATTGTAGAGGCTATTTCTCCCGAGTTAGGTAATAGGGTGCAGCGAGTGCGAGTTCAACTTCCTGGACTTAGCCAAGAGCTTCTTCAGAAGTTCAGGCAAAACAACATCAACTTTGCAGCTCATAATGCCGAAGAAGAGTCAGATTCCTTGTTTTCAAACCTGATTGGAAATTTGGCTGTCCCTGTAATTGTGATTGGAGGACTGTTCCTTCTCTCACGACGGGCATCTGGAGGGAGGGCTGGTCCCGGGTCTGGCTTTCCTTTTGCTTTTGGTCAATCTAAAGCCAAATTTCAAATGGAACCGAATACCGGAGTTACATTTGATGATGTTGCCGGGGTAGATGAAGCCAAGCAGGATTTTGTGGAGGTAGTGGAGTTTCTAAAAAAGCCTGAGAGGTTCACTGCTATTGGAGCTCGCATACCGAAAGGAGTTCTTCTTGTTGGTCCCCCGGGGACTGGGAAGACTCTATTGGCCAAGGCTATTGCTGGTGAAGCTGGTGTTCCGTTTTTCTCAATCTCTGGTTCTGAGTTTGTTGAGATGTTTGTTGGTATTGGTGCTTCCCGAGTTCGTGATTTATTCAAGAAGGCCAAAGAGAATGCTCCTTGTATTGTTTTTGTTGACGAAATTGATGCTGTGGGGAGGCAACGGGGTGCTGGAATTGGTGGAGGGAATGATGAAAGGGAACAGACCCTTAACCAACTTTTGACAGAAATGGATGGATTTGAGGGTAATACTGGAATCATTGTCATTGCAGCAACCAACAGGGCGGACATTCTTGATTCCGCATTATTGAGACCGGGACGGTTCGATAGACAGGTAAATAAGGATTGTATTAGGAAATATACATGCATTTAGCGCTTGTTTTTTCTTTTGTTAAGAAATCACTTTTAGGAGTTTTCATGTGTTTGTTACATCTTTTGGAAAAAAAATTGCTTTAAATGAGCAAATGTTTTGACTTTTGGAGTAGTTTCTCTTAAAAATCTTTTCTGACAGATGGTTTTTATCAAAGTGATTCATTATGGTAAACAAATACACTTCAGCTTTTCTTTGTTATAAAAAATCTCTTAAGCATTGAATTTCAAAATCACTTACTTTATAACTTGTAACATAATGCTTTTACAGGTATCAGTTGACATTCCAGACATTCGGGGAAGGACTGAAATACTAAAGGTTCATGGTAGTAATAAAAAGTTTGATGCCCATGTTTCTCTCGAGGTAGTTGCAATGAGAACACCTGGCTTTAGTGGAGCTGATCTTGCTAACCTCTTGAATGAAGCTGCTATATTAACTGGTCGGCGCGGAAAGACGGAAATTTCATCAAAAGAGATTGACGATTCTATTGATAGGATTGTGGCTGGAATGGAAGGAACAGTGATGACAGATGGGAAGAGCAAGAATCTAGTGGCATATCATGAAGTTGGGCATGCCATTTGTGGGTAAGCCTAAAATTAAGCTGTAGTTGTATTTCATATAAAAGTTGTGTAAGATTGCAACATAAGCAATATATCGTTGCCTTCATGAATTCCTGTTACAAACTTACAATCCTCTTCGGGTCCAGAATTCGGAATCAATTTGATCATCAGATTATAAGCTCATAAACTATATGAGCACATTCAAGAAAAACAATGGTTCAATCTAAGAGCTGTTTTAGCTACGAGTTCGTAAAAAATTATTCTGAAATATCAAACTGTACTTGCAGAACTTTGACTCCTGGTCATGATCCTGTACAAAAGGTAACCCTTGTTCCCCGTGGGCAAGCTCGGGGTCTCACTTGGTTCATTCCTTCTGATGACCCAACACTAATCTCCAAACAACAACTCTTTGCAAGAATTGTTGGTGGACTCGGCGGAAGAGCAGCAGAGGAAATTATTTTTGGTGAGCCCGAGGTTACAACTGGAGCAGCTGGTGATTTGCAGCAAATAACCAGTTTGGCTAAACAGGTCCTTTTTCTTTGACATAATCACGTCATTTTCTGTTGTTGCTTAATACGTCTCACTTATTTTTTGAGTATTTTTGATTTGGGGAGACATGAATGAGATCAGGTCACGTTTAAAGATTTCTTTAATGCTTGAAATTTTTTCTTTTACACGAAAGAATGAAAATATTCATTTTGAATGAATTTTTTTCAGTTGTCAATAGATAATTTTCCTTCATTTTCCTACCTTATCCTTCTAATCACAACTTTGTCATACTAATAAATGAAATGATATTCTTGCAGATGGTAATCACATTTGGAATGTCCGATATTGGTCCTTGGTCGCTTATGGACGGCTCAGGTCAAAATGCAGATGTTATAATGAGAATGATGGCTAGAAACTCAATGTCAGAAAAGCTTGCTGAAGACATTGATTTTGCTATCAAGAAGCTCTCAGATGAAGCATATGAAATTGCTTTGAAGCATATAAGGAACAACCGTGAGGCCATCGATAAAATTGTGGAAGTCCTACTGGAAAAAGAGACAATTACCGGAGACGAATTCAGAGCTCTCCTTTCTGAGTTCGTTGAAATTCCACCCAAAAATGCGGTCTCTCCTTCAACTCCCTCACCAGTTTCTGTTTGAGTTGCTATGCCTATATGTCATTGCAATCTAGTGTAGGTATATTTTCTGAAATTGTCAAATATTTGTAATATATGCGTTAGTCCAAGTTATTTTGTGTTGACAAGAGGAAAAATGTTCCTTCAAAGTGTTAGTTAGGACATGATGTAACTTACATGAACAGGAGTAATAAATTATTCATACCTATTGTATCATTGTAATTGATGAGATGTGTTAGTTTTTATTTTTATTTTTATTGCCAATTGTTAGTGATTATTTTGTTTGGGGGAGGACAAATTTGTTAGCAGTAGAGATGGAACTCTGAACTTCTCAATTATCATGTACTTTACACTCTGTATAGAAGGATTCAGATTCTTAGTCAGAGTAGAATGTTTTGCTTTATACTCTATTTTCTCTTTTGTTCTAGTCAGAGAAATATGATTTCTTTAATTTAGAAGCTTATGTTGTGGCTGCCTGTATGTGCTTTCTATAATAAAAAAATGAAATCAGCATTTTGATGTTCCATGAGACTGTAGATCTCAGATTGGTTGTCTGTAGTATCAGATGATATATAATGGTCTTTTGTTGTAATTGGGGTGTTTGCACTTATATATTAGTATGATACCAGCTTGTTTAGTTAGATCTTCTTTGAATTGCTCATCACTTCTATTATTGATTCTCAAAAGTTTGGGAACATATCTGTTTTGATTTTGATTGATTGGCTCTATAAAAAAATTGAATTTTTTTTTGTTGAATTGCCAAATTATTATTGACACGTCTTCCACTTTGTGTGTTTAAAAATTGAGATTGAATCGAATATGATTTCGATTGGTTTTCTCATTGTTGATTCTGGTATTGATCATGTATATTTTTTGGTTGATTTTCTCTCTGTTGTGATTTACATTTCTTATTGGTTTCATTTAGTTCATATTTATGTTGCAAAGGATTGATTTCATCTCTATATTTGGTTTGATTTCATTTGAATATGTTTGGTTTGATTTGGTTTAGTTTGATTCAGTTATATTTGATTTGGTTTGATTTGATTTTGATCGATTATGTATTTGGTTGTTTTGGTTTTGTTTGGTTCTTCTGTCGGATGATTTCTCTCTTCCTAAACATTGTCAAAGATATCCTCTCAATTACTGAAATCAAATGTCACGAGAACACTTGCGACGACAAACGTCCTCCCATTTAGCAAGATCGATACCACTTTACATCTCATGGATTCTAAGTGTTATAAGTTGATTTACCCTCTCCAGAACATGCAAAGCGCACATTAATAATCCTCGTCGGGATCAAGGCGGCGAGAAAATGCAAATATATCTTATCTTACCAAGTGCGCATTAATAATCCTCATCGGATCCAGGCGGCGAGTTAACCTCAAGCACCTATACACACAGTTGTAGACTTAAACATTCCTTAATGCAATTCTATATGCACTTTCAAGCCATGGAAACTCCAACCCTAATTCCTTGAGAATTTATCATTAATAACCTCAAAAATTTCTCTCTTACTGTTCTTACAATCATTCCTCACATCTAAACAGTAAGTTCAATTCATATCATAAATAGTATACTCGAAGTCTTACGAAGAAAGAGAGGCGGTAGTAAAAGACATAGTCTAACAAGTCTTTCGTTAACCAAAATTCAACCAATACGACTAACTATTCACAATATTCCACTTCCCTTTTGTTGTTAGGGATCTTATACCTAGTATCTAATGATCTTGGTGTTTTTCATCTCCAATTATAAAAGATCATTCTCTTCGTCTAACAACATAAACTTTTACAAATCATTCTTAAAATAAAAAAACTATTGAACGGTTTTTGAAACCACACTAGTCCATGTAAAGACGATAAACTATAAATAGACTTACTTTTGTAGTGACAAGTTCTATTTTCTTAGAGAGAATCAAGCAAGGGGAGGATCATCTTAACCCACTCCAGGGCAAAAGATCAAGTTGCAAATGTTCGAACAAAGTCATTGAAGATTACGAGATTCAAGAAAACGAAGAAGATGATTAATGTACTTAGCCTACATGATCTGAATTAAGAGAGAATGTAAAAATCTAATTCAATTCATAGTGAATTGTAAGCTCAATTCATAGTGTATAAGTAATCATTTGATGATCATGTATGAACTGTGCAGTGCATAACCAATTCAATGAATTTTTCTCTCTTCCTTTCTTGTGTGTTCAATAAGTTCCAACACTCACGTGGATAAGTCTCTAAGAATGAAACACGTATGTTTTTGTTTTTCATCATAGTCTCTTCTCTATTGCAGATCCTGTAAACAAAATCTGAAAAACATTTAAAAAACAGTAACTCTGCACAAAATGGCAGTCACAATGATAAATAATTTTATTGATCTTTATATGAAGTAAAGAAGGGGAATAAATGGACTATACATAGAAAACTTGACCAACATTTAAGAGACTCTCATGAGGAATATTGAAGATCACACTATTTTCCCTGCACATCTTTCTAAGAAATGCATATATATAATCAACAGCTATTTTCTTGTAGAATCTTGAATCCCTACTAGCAACCACGATTGTGTTTCCTAGTATGTGAACAACACCAGCTTCTCTAGAGTTGTTTAAAAATTCATATTCATCAACCTCAGTGCCAGGGCTAGAGGATTGAAAAGTAACATTCACATGTGGCGGCGATCTTGCAGGAACTATTGAGTCGACAGATGAAATTGTTACATCCCCATTACTCACTGAATTTGTGTTTCCATTGTTATTTGACTCTTCGGTTTGCGGTTCACATAAACTGTATTCCGAATCAGAACAATCTTCCATCATGGATTCAAGTCGAACAAACATGAAAAGGTTGTGAAAGAGTTTCTTCTCAAACTTGTCGTCTTTCTTATGCAGGTCTTTATATCCATATCGTGCCACACATCGAAAAATGTGGAAGTTCTTTGGTCCGATACGCTTGACAAGGAACCGTTCGTCTTCCGGGACAGTGTAGACGGGAAGATATTTCACACAGACGAAAACAACAACGGAATGAATGGCTGGTAGGTTGGTAATAAAATGAGAAAATATATGGGGAACTCCACTTGCGAGTTCTGTGTACACTAGGCCGGTTCCAGGGACACGAACTAGTCCTAAACTGGGACCGAGTCCAAGAATCCATGCCATTGAGACTTTACTATGCAATTCAAATTCGTAACGCTTCAGCGTACCATAATGCCAAACATACATAATAATCAGAAATACTCCGGCAATTGCAAGTGGCGCCCACCCACCTTGATCGACTTTGAAGATTACAGCAGAAAAGTATGTGCATTCCACAATCAATGATAAGGCAGTAAACACAATCACAAGAATCCAATGGCAGTGCCAAACTAATATCATGACCAAAATCATGAGCAGTGTTGTAACCAACATGACTAACACAACTGCAGTGCCTGTCATTACAATTACATATTCACTTGTTAATAACCATAATAATTTTTCCAAACTGTGTTAATCTATGAAAGACAGACACAATACCAGACACAATACCGATGAAGAAAAGACTTACCATATGCATTTCCAATCTGACTTTGATTTTTAAAGCCAGTAGTAACAGCAATGCAAAGAACCATAAGGAGCCAATTGATATCTGGAATATATATCTGGCCAAGGAACTTTTTCGATGTATGAACAACTTTGACTCTTGGGAAACAGCCATGAGCAAGAGCTTGCTTAATGATTGAAAAGGTGGCTGTTATTGTGGCCTGGCTTGCAACTATTGCTGCTATTGTTGCAATAACAAATACTGGCCAGTATATTTTGTCTGCAGAAAAAAAGAATAATTAACATCTACCAGATAAAAATCACTACAAAAATCAGAAACTACTTTCAATGTAGAGAAGCAGACATAACAAACCTGGAATAGAGCAATAAAAAACATCTTGTGATTGATGCAAGTTATTCACCAGATAAGCCGCCTGTCCAGAATATGCTAAAAGAAGGCAAGGAAACACAAGAAGAGTAAATGCAATTTGTACCGATGAGACTGGATAATTGGCTAAGTCCGCAAAAAGAGCTTCTGTCCCTGAAATCAATCATCACAAGTTTTCGAGTTTAAATAACAGTTCACATCAACTAATAATTCTGAAACATGAGAATTCAACCTACCGGTTATGCTGAGCAAGATGCCGCCAAGGGAAAGCCAACTTTCTTTTTTTCCGTTTCTCATATACCGATACACATAGAGAGGCGAAAAGGCTCTTAGGACTCTGCCACCGAATCTCCAAATGTTGTATATACCTATGCCTCCAATTAGGAGTAACCAAACCAGAACAATTGGAGCAAAGAGCCAGCCAACTTTATCTGTACCGTAATGTTGCACGCTGAATAGCCCAACTAAAATTACAACAGCAATAATCACAACTACTCCTGTAACACAAATGGAAGAAAAATAAGAGGAAAACAAATGGAAGACAAAGAAGATTAATGTAATGTTAAAGATGTAGGACCATACCGTTATCGATTTCAGGTTTGTTTACTCTGATGCCACCAGCAGCAGATAAAACTACATCGGAAAATTTCATCAGATAAATAAAAAGAAAGCTTGCATTTCAAGAAACAAGAGTAATAAATGGAACAAGAAGATCGTTCGGACAGAAAACAAACCAGATATAGCCGGAGTAAGAATACCATCTCCAATCACCATACAGGTGCCAACAAGGACAAGAATAAGAAGGGCACTTTTAATAAGAGGTCCCTCTAACCATCTTTGGGTTTTCGCAGCAAACGATTTCTCCTGGATTTTAGTCCGGCTATATGTTGTTAACTCTTCATCCGTGTGATGTTGGTTGGGGATGCTTTTTATATTCGCGTGTCGGCAGAGCAAGGAATATAAAGCCAGTGTTCCACCTGCGTCACATATGTAATAATCTCGATAAAACTTAGTTGCAATAATATCGAAATGAACCAAAAACAAGTAAAACGAATACATACCTTGACCATTGTCATTTGCTCGTAACACAATAAAAACATATTTGAGCAACGGCACAAGAGTAAGC